ACAACTATTCAGAAATGCTGCCAGAAAAGGACCGAAAGAAACACATAGGGCGCTCCCGCCGCCCGCGAGACCCCAGCGGAATGCTAAGAAACGTGAAGGACTGTGCAACAACCTGCGCTCTGCTGGTGGTGTTGGTGGGAAGCACTCTAAAATTGGGGTTTTGCGTTGGTGTTTGTCTCGAGTTTCTTTCGATCTAAATTCATGGTTAATTACTCCTTTTTGATGAGAAAAAAGACAACATGCAGACTGTGCGCGGCGGCGAACGGCCCCCCAGTGCACGGACTCCACAGAAGTGCGCAGCGTGACAACCTGCTGCAGCTTTCGTCTTCGCCCAAATTTTGGTTTTTAAAGCACTTTAAATACACACTGAAGTCGAACTATAGATACATTGGGTCTTTTCGTGCCAATTTAGGTGTCTCACAGACGCTACAGCATATCTCGGGATGTGTTGTGTGCCTCTGTAGCATTGTGTATGCAAGTTGCACGTGAAACGGCGAAAGCTGCATCCAGACCTACAGTTGCACCGCTTTATGTAATTACATGCAATCCAAAGTCATCAAGGGCTGCAATCCTGCGGTTGTTACTCAGGAGCGGGTTTGTGTACGCATGCTCTGAATGCTGCTGCTGAGCCACCATCAAGAGCGCAACTTCACCCTGAAAGTGGCAGGCAAGTGAGCTCTTCGTGCGAGCTCTGGAAACTTGCGGACGATTTTTAGCGCTCCGGTGCTGTGGGTTGCGCCGTGTGCAGGAAACACATTGTTCCATCTCAGTTACCGTTGAGCAAACATCGGTAGCTCTCTATAGTAGTTTCCTACGTTAACAGAGCGTGATTTAGCACAAAAGCGTCTTGCAGCTTAATCGGCCGCTCGTGGAGAGCTTCACGTTACGCACTTTACCTACTCTCTTCTACTGATCCAAACACCTACGCAGGTTTTTTCGAGGCCTGGGAGATGCAAAATGGTCCAATTCAATCAAGTTTCAACTCTTAACCACGGCTGAATATCTTACTGCATCATTTTAAGCTATCTACCGCAACCATTCTGCGCCGGTGGGGAGCGCTCCATGCCCGCCAACGGGCCTCTGTGTCGTCGTTCAATGCACCGAATGGCAAGCCACTCGTAGTTACCGGAAAATCCCACTTTTCGTCGTGCTTGCTCGTGGTGAGCTCTCTGCGGAGGGCAACATCTGAGGTGTTGAGCCAAGCTCGCCTGGCGGCGAGAGACGACTATCCAATGAAAACAGTGATGGTTCTATAACGCTTTCGTATTTACAGTCGTAGGCTGTAGTGAGTCATCAGCTTGCGTGGAGAACAGGCAGAGGTAGCAGGATGATAGCTGTGGGCAGCCTACTAGGCTGGCAGTACTGAAGTATTCCGGCAGGCAATTAAACAATTTCATTGAGCAATCAGCAGGCGCTCGAAACGGCATCACCTGATGATATTGAATGATGCACCTCAGAAAGCGAGGCATCATTCGGCTGCCGGAAAAGCTTAGTCATCGGAGGAGCGAGCTTAGGGGCTAACACGCCTACGATATCAAGATTCGCAGCAATCAGCGGATTCTCGCCGATGATGACCTCGAAGGGAAAGAGCTCGGTGGATGAATGGCTTGTCGTGTTGTAAGCAAGTTCCAGGGCCGGGAGCAAGCATTCCCACTCGCGTTCGTCAGATTGGATGTAGGTACGAAGCATCTGCTCCAGTTTGCGGTTCATCCGCCCAGTTTGACCGTCGCTCTGAGGATGGTAAGACGAGGACATGCCTCGTTTGATGTTAAAGCGGCGACAGCTGTTGGCAGAGATCCGACTGGAAGCGGGGGTCTCGATCCGACATGAGCACCTCCGGAAAACCGTGGTAGCGGATAAGACGGTTCGCGAGAAGCTCAACGGTGTCTGCTGCTGTGAATGACCTTTTTGCAGGAACGATATGAGACATTTTGCTGAGGGAATTGGCCATCATGAGAATCGAATCGTGCTTTGTCGTTGTAAGGGGAAGGTCCGTGATAAAATCAAAGCTCACGTGTGACTTGTGCCCACCGACGCGAAAGGATGAGCAGCTGTAGTGGGAGGCCTGAAGGTTTCTGCTTCAGGGACTTAGAAGCATAACGGTGAGTGCATGATTCAACATACGCAGCAGTGTAGGCACGCATGCCTGGTTAGTAGTACTGCTTGCTCAGAGCCGTAAAGGTCTTCTTCTGGCCTCGATGGCCGGCTGTAAGATGGTCATAATGTCAATGCAGGACATGTGTAAGGAATTCAGGGAATTGTGGGACACATATCCTCCATAGTCCATGAATGCACATGTGCAGGTAAGGCGGCACATAGCAAAAGGTGAAGTGACGATTATGGAACTCTAGCGTCTCCTGGTTGTTTTGCAGCGGCTTTGTAGGGGGAGCGGAAGACGGGACACTTTGAGTAAGGTTGCGGCCATGCGTGCACGTCAGGAGGGGTCAGCCTGTGTCTTCGATGTAGGTGGAGGATGTCCCACCTCTGGATTTGGCTCATGCGGCAGAGGTGAGGGTGGGGATGGCAGTGTGCGTTGTCTGGGTCGTCGCGAACGAATGTCGGCGAACTCCGTGTAGTTAGCGTGTAGCCGACCACGAGAGCGAGGAGCTGGGCGCGGTTGTTCTACTGCGAGCATCAGTGGTGTCGGTGGTGTGTCGTGCGAGCAGGTGATACGAAGACCGGGGCGGCGAGACAAAGCATCAGCCACCTGATTGCGCGCTCCTTGAACTTCAGTGATGTGCAAATCCGGGAACTCGGCCAGGAAACTCAACCACCGGGCGGTGCGTCCACGCAGAGGCTTCGATGCTTGGAGTCGTTGGAGATGGGTGAGAGCTTGATGATCAGTGTAGGTCGCTACCTTGGAAACACGGAGCAAGTGTGACCACTTGTCCAGGGCCGTGATCAGCGCTAAGAGTTCCTGATCGTAGATCGAGTATCTCTGTCGTGTGGGATTCACGACTTGGCTGAGGAAGCCGATGGGCTAGCCGTCTTGTTCCAGGAATGTTCCGATCGGAAGCATCCGTGTATTACTCGAAGGGTTTCGTGGTGTGAGGGACTTGTAATGTAGTGAAGTAAATTAAGCGGTGTCTGAGCTGCCGCACCGCTTGCGTGTGAAGATCTGTCCATTTGGCACTAACGTCTTTACGCATAAGATCAACTAGCGGCCGGGCGATGTCTGCATAGTCCGGCCCCATGAACATGCGACAGTAATTTATGGTACCGAGGAACTGGGGCACCTGCGTTTCGTCCTCCAGCACCTCTGGCCAATGCCGTATGGCTTCGATTTTATCTTCTCAGGTTTGATCCCCGCAGCAGAAGTGGTATAACCCAAATATGTGATTGTGTGCCGTGCAAACTTGCATTTGCGGAATTTCCGGTAGAATTGATGTCTAAGAAAAACACTTAGGAATTGCCGCAGGAGAGGAACGTGCCCAGAGAGATGAGGACTATAGATAAGTGCATCATCTAGGTACGCAATAACGCCATGTCCGAATAAAGGTTGTAGATAGGGATTAATGTTGGCCTGGAACGTAGCTGGAGCACCTCTAAGGCCAAAGGGCATTACTCGGTACTCGAATAGCCCGAGAACGGAACAGAAAGCTGTCTTCCAACGGCCGTCCTTGGCCATACGTATTTGATGGAATCCTGCTTCAAGGTCCAAAATGAAAAAACTACTTGGCGCCTCACAGCATCTCCAGATTGGTTTGAATGGGAGGTAGTGGAAAATCAGGGGCTATCGTAAAGGCATTTAGAGCCTGGTAATTAACAATTAGACGCATCTTCCGCTCCCCGGAGCCATCATCACGCTTGTCTACCATGATCGTAGGAGAGCAAATAGGCGAGTAGGTTGGTCCGATCCAACCACTGTCCGGTAATTTAGCTATCTCCTGCTTGTGGAATGTGAGCTGATCTGGGGTCATACGTGCAAATTTCGCTGGAAGCTTTTCAGGCAAAAGTGGGATATGGCGATCATGAGGGCGCTTCGGCGGTAATACTTCAGATAAGTTATCGGAAAAGATAGCTCGATACTCCTGCAACACCTGTATAATCTCACATGCAATAGCCTGCGCGTCTGTCGAATTTATCCATTCGTCGAATAGAGTGTGCTCGAGTTTTGCCACAGGCCAGGGCGACTTGTCTTCACTCTCAGCTGCCGTCAAGGCGGTGGAGGCAAAAGGACTACCTCAGCCGGAGGACGTGGGTTGATTCCCAATTAACCTGCAGCAAAGCGCTCCTTGCCATTCATCCGAGAACCTTAGAAGCACCGCCGAACTGGCTTCGGGCAAAGCCAGTATGAGATGCAAACCGTGCAGTGGTGCCCTGAAACTCTTTGTGTCAGCCGCCGCCTGACGAACGAGCGACGTTATCCGTGCCTTCTCCTTAGTCTTCGCATGGGACTTATACCTTTTAGGTGGCGGGCGTAGGAATATGACGGCCTCTTCCGCTGATATACCCGCCACTTGCTTGGCCAATATCTTTTTTGCTTGCTCTACAGGGTTCTTTGGGTGGACTACGGTAGGACTGTCACCTTGCAGCTTTTATTCACCAGTCCTGACGACCGGTAGCTCGCATTACTGGCCATTCGCGTAGGTTCGGAGCTTGTCGGACTGGAAATACCAGGCCACCTTATGTTCCTTCCGCCAAACCAAACCGAAGACTAAGTCATAGAGAACGGTTCCCACTATAAAGCCCCCGGGAAAGCGTGCATCTTCGCGCCACATCGTCAATCCCGTCACAACTCGATCAATGCGTAATTGTTCACCTGTAGCTACGATGAACTTGTGCTCTTCTAGAAGTTTCCGCACCTTCAGCTGCAGTCGTTCGCCTGTTTTTGGAGTAGTGAAGCTTCTCGAAGCCCCAGTGTCCAAGAAGGCCTCACATGGAGTGGCTGCGAGCTCAACGAGGAGGACCGCCGTCGCACCCACATAGCACAATGCTCCTCCTTGGTTGTAAGGCTCTTTCGTGCAAGTTTTTCGCCACCAGTGTGGCGCAATCGCTGTTCAGTCTGGCCTGTAGCCGTCTTCTGTTGCATCTGCAGACTTCCTGTTGCTAGCCGTCGTCGCGCCCGGAGCCTCTTCACTTAGGATCGACGCCGACCCAGACTCCCACTGCGTTTCCAAAAGCCGCTGAGTCCCTTCCGCGTGCCCATCGCTCGTAATAGTTCCTTCCGCAGTGTTGAGCAGTTTGTTTCCCCACTCAAGGGAGACTGGGATATCATTAGGCCCTGTCGCTACCGCACGCATCATCCCTTTGCCATGGCTACGCGGCTTAGAACGCTGGTCTGCAACCATGCCTAGGCCCCCCCGTTTAATCGTTCCGTCTTCTCAGTACTAGGACGTGTGGGCTCCCTACTGCTCCTTTCCTCCCGCTCTGTCCGGCCTCGTTCGTACGTAGGACAGCCCCGAGCATAGTGTCCCACACCGCCAAGCTTCTTGCAAATTTCCCCCGGACGTTTGGTACGTTCTCCCTTCCTGAGGCAGAGACGTGCCAGATATTTGCGACCCTTACACTCATGAGTTCACGTGGATTCCTCCAGGTCGATTTTCGATTTCCTGGCGCCTACGGAGTCCATTAGCTTGGATAGCAGCCCTAATGGCTCGCCTACTCCTTTGTTGGAGCTCCAGCACGCTCTGTCGGCTCGTAGAGGCGTGCTGCGGCTGTCGCCGCTTGTTCACACAACCGATACTTCACCTGCCCGTTATTGGTAATTAGAAGATGGAGTTCCGTCGGTAGCCCGGTGCAGTAGTAGCGAGGGAGTTCGTCGGGGGCGACACCCAAACCACGCTCCGCTACAGCCGCAAACCGGTCCCTGTATTCCTTCGGGTTACCATTCCACCGTATTTTAGCCAACTCCGTCAACAATCGACCCTGCGACACTGCTTTGTCGAACCATTCCAGAAGCCTGCGCTGTGCCGTTGCTCAGTCGCTTGGGTCGATAGTTCGCCGTAGACACATCCAATACGTTAGAGCCGGGCCCACAGGGTGGTCAGTAAGTGCGCTGCTCGACTAGCGCGGCTTCAATCCCATCTGGATGTACCGGCGCTCGATGCGCAGCAAAAAGGCCTGCATAGTGCTGCCGTCTTCTGGTAGTATGGGAAACGTTGCGCCTGATTTCCCGGTCCCGCCTATAACAGTTCTTATCACACTCATAGCGGACTGGAATTGGTCCCCCGTGACGAAGAGACTGTCCCCTGGCATAACATTGGTCATAGGTATCACCTGCGGGGGCGCCTCCTTATGCCCATGCAGCCGCTCTGCCACGGTGGGCTTCGGAGTCGCATGGCGATGATGGACCGGCGTCCCGCTCGACATTTTGTTCACTGACATGGGAGAAGTATTTTGCGGTGTGGGGCCGATAACACGTCCGTTGCGGAGATGCATCGCTTACCGAGCGAAGATTTCTAGGCGCTAGCTATTAAAACGTAGTATTTCTACTCCCAAGTCCGGAAAGAACAAATATTTCATTCCCGGAACGGACCCCAAATGTAGTGCACAGCACCTACTGCTGCGACTACGCAGCTACCTGCACCCTATGGTAACTGTCTACCTTCGGCGCATTTTCTTGAAACAGTAGTCCAAATATCACGAAATACACTCATTTATAGTTTTTTCAAAAACTGTTCTCTCGAAAATCCCCTTCGCTCGGGGTTCTCGCCTCCTAGGCCCTGTGGGGATGGTGTAGTGCCAGGCACTACAATTGACCTTCGTCGCCACCCCTCGAGGCTTAGTAACGCGAAAGGGCATGAATAATATAGAATATTTTAAGGCATAAGGCACCACTGGATATTAGGAAATCATAAAAGGGAATAGAGTGCTCGCTAGCCAGCAGCGGGTATGGGGCTGGATGCGAGGTTGGTGCCGTGACTCAGGCACTGACCCTCAGCGAGGGTCAACAGTCAGTTCTATTATTTTGGGTTTTTCTCACCTCTCAATAATATGAACTCAGTTGTATATGGCCATTTAGGGTATACAGCAGTAGTTGGCGAGAATCATGGATTTTAGATAGTAGATGCAGAGTGTGCACTTAGTCAGACTAGCCCAGGGACCATACGTAGGAACAGTGTAGGCCAGCTGTTCACTACAGATGGGGTGTGGTGCACAGGCAGTGCAATGGGGCTTGTTGGCGACCTACAGAGGATAGCTAACTGATGACCTATAAGCGGTTAAGCGGTTGAGACGCAGATTGAGAGCTGTAACCTCTTACTAGTAAAATAGAAGTGCAATATATTAAAAAATTAACATGTATAAACTAGGAATGCCTGCGAATGCTCTAAGAGTGGGGCTGCCGACAACGCCGGCACCGGTGCGCGTCACATCCTCACCGGCCCAGTAAAGCAACAACGATAAGAGACAACTTTTATGGAATATGGTTTTAAAAATAAATGGCCCTTTCAATAAATTGGTAGATGACACGCAGCCGATGCGTCGGTAGTAGAGAAGATTTCATTGAACACCAGAGTTGAGTGTGCAGCATCGTAGACGCTGCAGAGAGCGCAGTGTACTACAGAAGGCTTGCACCGGTGCCGGCGCTATCGCCAATCCCAATCTCCATGTATTTACAGGCACGTCTAGTGTAGGCATGCTAATTTGCCGAGAAATTGCCTTACTTCGATCCTAGTAAGAGGGTCCTGTCCTTGTTCAGTGTTATGACCTCTTCTAGATCGCCAGCTAGCTCTCTTCTGTAGGTCACTAGCAAGGCCTATCGTAGTGCCTGTGCACTACAATAGGTCACCAGTAAGCCCTACTGTAGTGCCTGTGCAGTACAAGCTCAATGCTTGGTCTTATGGACAAATGGACTTGCAAATGCTTGTCTACAATGTAGTATAGGCTTTTTGGCTGGAAAGGGCATTTCACGTTTTCCTTCACTTCTCAGTTTCTTTGCTCTCTGCAGCCAAAACTTTGTGCAGGCAACAAGTCACAAATTGGGGATACTGCGAAGTGTTCCAGTGCTCGTGAGTCGTGTAACCATAACGCTTTACCCTGCGAGGGTTGCCCAGCAAGAAACAGCAGAAAAATGTACAGAAGCACACAAAGTGGAGCTCAGAGGACTCAGAAAACCAGCAGCAACTTTTTCCAGTGCAAGCCAAGGCCAGGTGAGCACGTGGAGCAGCAGCACTAGAAGACCGCAGTGTGTACGGGGAGCAGCAAAGTTTCCGCTTATAGTAACATTGCGACACTAAAATGAGCTCCCAAAGATATTTCTTAAGACGTAAATTATGCTTCTCTTACGCTATAATGCATTCAGTGGAGAGCATGAATGGAGAAGTCCCCCCAACAGATTACGATACGTCGGCGAATGCCGTTCCCGTGTCCAATAATGAGCTGCAGCGTATATTCACCACTCCTCTACAGCAGTGATAGGTATTTTTACTACTTAAAATGGAAGTTAAACGCATATGCAGAGGTAAAGGACGCACTGTCGGTAAAAAACGGCATACGAAACGAGCGCATATAAGTCCACGCTCGTAAAGCACAACCCACATTGTTGCATTTTGCCAAATAAGCCCTGCAAATGATCCTTCTGAATATAAATGCCCCAAAGCGTAGCCGTGCCAAGAGTTGCTCCGCATGTACGAGTAAAGACAATTTACTTAGACTCCCAAGGAAGGGCGTGCTTGGCGCAGTGGACGAACTCAAATCTGGGCTACCCTAACCATAATAAACTGGGAATTTTGTACAGAGTTACTTGCAGGGGAATAGCGCATGAAGCCAGTTGATGCTCGAATACACTGGCTCGTTCTCAACATCAAAATTTCTACTAGGGGCGACGCCCAGGTTGAGGGCATTGGGCAGAAGAACGTCAAAGTGCGTTGGCTTAAAGCCAAGAATATTTCAAAGAGTAAATGACGCACCTACAGGGATAACTCCTAGGGAAAAGATTAATTTCGATTTTCTCAGGGAAACGTAAGGACCTCTAACTGAGTGGAGGACCGTACCCCGACCAATGAAAGAGCGCCCTCAACATCCGCTCTTCCGTGAAAAAGCGGGTCCATTGAGCAAGCGACAGAAGAGAATAACACCGCATGCAAGGATTGTTGAAATGAACCGAACAAATCTTAAGTACGCGCTAAATAGACCTGCGAACGATTCTTGAGTACGCCCTAAATAGGCCTGAATTGCGGTGGCGCTGATAAGGAACCGCCGTGGCCGCAGGTTGTGCTAGAATACATTTGGTTAATAAAACGCTTGAAAATTGCCACCACCGCGAGCAGATACAGCAGCAGCATGAGAAGGAGAAGAGCAGCAATTGCCTGAAGCAGCAGCAATAACTGCCGCAGCAGTAACAACGGCAGCAGCAGCAACTCACCTCGTCCGCATATTCCAACTTTTTGTGAGCAATTTTACTCAAGTGTTGTGTTGTTTTGAATATATATCAACACGAAACTTAGGATAGTGGGCCTGGATGTGTTACCCCGACTCGTGGCTTGCCTGGAACAACACAGACAGCTAAGCTGAGGGATCGAGCGATCTCCTTTGAGCTTATAGCAGCACAAAAGGGAAAATATTTTTATTTGACAGCAATCGCGACGCACTTTCTTCAGTAGCAGGTCTATTTACTTTTGACTGCACTCTGGTCCGGAACGTGTGAGAGCTGTGGATCGGGTAACGGTACGATGTAAACCACGAAAAGAGGTTAAGCCGTGAAGAGATCCGACAACAGAACTCATATCTGCCTCAATCTCAACACTAAAATTAACACAGACTTGTGCTGAACATCTAGGGTTGAGACGCAGCTCTTCTTCTGACCATTGAACTGTCCTGCACCCTCACCAGGTGTCCTGCAGCACTTTTGGGAGCCCTCTCTGGAGAGCAACTCCCCATGGATAATCACAGAAATGCTGTTAACTTTCAGGAGGATACTATTTTTACCTCGCTTTTACACAATGCTGCATTATTATGGGTGCAATCCCAGGCTCCTCCTATTCCGTCGCTACGCTGGGCAGCTGTGTTGGCCTCCGTCAGCACTGCATTGACAGAGGCAAAAAATTGCCCACAAATGGAGCAAACATACTGTCCACATCATATGATGATACAAAATAGAGGTTTTAAGAGAAGTTGCTGGGAGTCCTAGAGAGTAATTCAGCGCTGCAAATCCCTGCGCGCCATCCAGAAATAGATGCTGGAGCGGAACATTGCATCCTGCACAGAGAATCGATTTGAAGGAAAGTGACCTTAAACAGAGCTTAGACATAATTAAGCTGCTCCGTTGTAGTATTGCCATTTATTTGGTGACAGCTTGAATCGCCATAAAGGCAATATATGACAGGAACATTCACGTGGCACCTGTTGTTGGGCAAACGCTGGTTGGCGAGTGCACAGACGCCTGGGGCTTCACTTGGAGATCATTCATCATTTTATAGGGGAGCAGCTGGCGATAAAATTGATGCATTTTAGTATGTGTATTAATTAGTAACGAAGGATAAATCTATTGAGCCCATGTAGGGGAACCTCACCCATTGAGGTCAACCAACACGCTGTCCCAACCGTCCCGACCATCCTCTCTTTCCTTCGAGTGGCTCGCACTGGAACTCATTGGCTCCATTTTCGCCTTGGTATTCACTTGCCACATCTTCAGGCATTGTGCCAGCACTAGGAATCCTTCATCTGCTGCCTCACGGGTGATCCTCTCCATATTTTCAAATTTTTAAAGGGAGTTCATGCAAGCATAAGGAGTGCTTTTGAAGCCACTTTGATCGAGCAGCAGTCTCAATTTTTCAGGAAGCCTCACGGGGAGTAGGACTGGCAGCTGCTCCGGTGCAACACAAAAGATGAAGTCCGAGGCTCCAGCGGTGATGTTGTCAACAAGTAGCGAAAGCAAGCTAAATGACGTGGCAGATGGCCCGTTGTTTCTGACTAGGCTACCCCATTTGGGCCGCGCTCGCCGTCGCCGCAAGCGCCTGAAGTTTGGCCTAACAGCGTTCTTGGTTATGCTATCGGGCTTCGGTTTAGCCTTCAATGCATTTAGCATTGGCCGCCGTATTATGCGCTTAGTTTCAGAGACTCCCTATGCTGGTCATGAAAGCGGGCAAGGCTCGGATGAGGAAAGCACTATGTTGCGGAATGTGGGCAAAGAAGAGGGCCGGCTACCGCCCGCAGCCGAAAATGGGAAGAAGTTTCTAGCTGAAGCGCTGGCAAAGCTTGAGGCGGAGAAAAAAGAGAAGGGGATTGGTGCACCGGCGACTGCAGGGGCCCGAAGAGCGTTGAGAGAGCTGGCTGCGCATTTGTCTGGTGGTACATCTACAAACATATTGGGCCAAACTGTGATTCTTAAGGAGGCCACTCCTTTTGACGAGTCGGTCACGAGACGTTTT